TCTCACGTCCCACTCTCCATACCTTCCACAATATCATTGCTAGCTCTCAAGGTTTCACTATTGGTACTTCTCCCTGGGATGAATCTTGCAAGAGAAGAAGAAAGGCTGCAGCTACAGCTTTGAATCGACCTGCTGTTCAATCTTACATGCCCATCATTGATCTTGAGTCTAAGGTTTCTATCAGAGAATTACTCATTGATAGTAAAGATGGACAGGTTGATATTGATCCTATCGCATACTTTCAAAGATATGCCCTCAATACTTCCTTGACGTTGAATTATGGATCGAGACTTGACGAAGTCAAGGATAAGGATTTACTTCAAGAAATTTGTGATGGGGAACGAGGGGTTAGCAATTTCAGATCGACAAGTAACAATTGGCAGGATTATATCCCATTGCTGAGATTGTTACCCAAGTCAAACACTGGGGCTATCGCAAGCAGAGAAAGACAGGACAAGTATTTGACCTTCTTGTTGAACAAGCTTAAAAAACAAATCGCCGATGGGACAGACAATCCCTGCATTACTGGGAACGTTATTAAGGATCCGGAGGCGAAATTGAACGAAGGTAAGTCTCTACCATAAGATAGCTTGCCGAAGTAATACACTGACGATTACAGCTGAAATCAAATCTATCTGTCTTACTATGGTTGCTGCTGGTATCGATACAATCCCTGCTAACATAATCATGGGTATCGCATACCTTTCATCTGAACATGGTCAAGAAATCCAAAAGCGTGCCTATGAAGAAATCATGAAGGTTTATCCCGACGGAGATGCATGGGAGCGCTGTCTTGCCGAGGAGAAAGTCCCATACGTGACTGCGTTCGTCCGAGAAGTTCTCAGGTTCTACACCGTCCTCCCTATGTGTCTCCCCAGAACTAGCATCAAAGATATCCAATACAAGGATGCGATTCTTCCAGCCGGTACGACTTTCTACATGGTAAGCCCCCCTTTACATCTCGGAACCCTTCACTCCCTAACACAATCACAGAATGCATGGGCCGCCGACTACGACCCAACCCACTTCAAACAACCCGACGAATTTTCCGTCGAACGCTACCTCGACAATCCCGAAGGAGGCGGCACTCCGCACTATGCCTACGGCGCCGGTTCCCGCACGTGTGCCGGTTCACATCTTGCGAATCGCGAAGTCTACACGGCGTTCCTTAGAATCTTCACCGCGTTTCAAATTGTGCCTCCGAAGGATCCCAAGGATCGACCTATCTTGGATGCCCTTGACTGCAATAAGTGTCTGACGGGTTTGACGACCGATCCTCTCCCATTTAAAGTAGGCCTTCGAGTTAGAGATAAGGCGAAGCTGCAGCAGTGGATGGCTGATGTAGAGGAGAGGACTAAGAATTTACGTTAGATGTTAGATGTTAGATGGCACCTGGTGGGTTGAGGATGAGATATTATTTGATGGCTCATGTGAGAGAGAGGGTGGATGGATGGATGGATAGATCATTCTATGCTCGTTTGGATTGTTACAGACTTCTCTACCAATCTCGACAAAGCACTTGCCGTCCGTATTCGTATTTCCCTTGGTCTAGGATTGATTCCCTTGAGAGTTCTTCATCTTCGTTTTCGTTTTCATGTTTTGAATTGATAATTAGCTCTCTTATTTGCCAAGCTTAAACGAGAAGTGATAAGTTTAAGGCTATTTAGCACTGTAATACATTGAGAAAACTCCCATTGAGTGAAGAGGGATCGGATGAGATGAGATGAGATATCTATTAAATCTATTGAATTATTAACAAGTTTGATCTAATCCTCTTGCTAATTAATCTAATTGATTGATTTGACTTGGGTTAACTTGGGTTGAGTTGGGTTGAATTGGATTATATACTTTTCTCGATGCTTTTAGAGTCGAGTAGAAGTACGAGTACGAACGTTTAATTAATTTCATGTTACGTGAATATATCTCTCTTCTGCTAATGAAGCTTTATATATTAGAAAGAATTATTAATCTATTGAAATCTTCTTGTGTATATTTGTCACGATTCCGATTGGTAGCGATCGCTAGCTTCGTTGGAGAATAGTCATATAGCTTTCTAAGAGTCCTTCGGGCTCTTTAGTTGTTAATTCTGTGGATTCCTTTTGATCTTCAGTTTCTTGTGTATGGAGCTTTTATATAGCATCAGCGTTGTATCAAATGACCCTTTTATGCTTTGATTTGAGTTTATATATTGGTGACGCCTGTGCCGTAAAGAGCGGAATTAATCAGGGTCAAAAGATTCCTTAGAATTTACTACTACCGCTACTAACTACGGAACAGCGCTCCTATATATATTTTACATGAGGCGCACGTGAGCTGTGACAGTAAGCACGTGCGCCGGAGCGGCGGCTAGGCCGGCCGAAACGTCAGAATCGTGACAATATTGATATAATCTTTTACGGAGTATATAACTTTACTTTGTAACAAATTCCTTATAACATGAATTATTAACATCGTCTTTTTATAAAAGTATCATTTCAATCATAATGTATTTAAGATTTTATACAGTATTTATAAGATTTCTATTACATTTAGTTTATATTTAATTGGATATAATTTGTAGTTTACCGCAACTAATTGAGAATTACATAATCAGGTTTAGATCTAAATTCCATCAAAATATTCTTATTTTTGAAGCTAAAAGAATGCCTTTGTAAGGAGGTTTTGCTATGTGACCATCTCGAGGTATTCTATCTACTCGTCCCCAGGATCCGATTCAATGTCTTTATCTCCAACCAACACGCTCTTCTCTCTTTCAATGTGATAATGAACACACTGGAATCACAAGTTACCGATCTAAATTATCTAGCAGAGTCGCCTATCGCCATCCCAAGTGTCAATAATATGAATGGTCAACCGTCTTCGGAATCACCCGCAGATCCCAGGGCTCAGAGCGGAAAGAGAAAAAGTATTTCTGGTGAGGGAGATTCAACAACAAATGGAAACTCAAAGGAAAGGGAAGGGGCTCCACAAACAAGGGCAAAGAGGAATAGATACATCTCTATCGCTTGGTAAGTCGACTTTCATCCCTCTTATGGTTAATCTTGGTATGTGCATCAATGTCGGTCAGCGCTCTTGAAGATGATGTTGGATCAATGTGCGCTGGGTGAAAGGGGTATTGGGATCTTTCTGCAGACATTCCTGCACCTTGGGAGCGAAGGGGATATCTTCATTGATACTAATATATCTATGTTATAGCAATGAATGTAAAAGAAGAAAGATCAAATGCAATGGAAATACACCATGTCAACGATGCGGAAACCTCAACCTGGAATGTCAATACGCTCCGAACTGTTGCACCAATGGCTTCAAGGAATCAGAAGAGTTTCGTCAAGTGAACTCACAGCTTGCCTCACTGCAAAAACAAGTGGACAATCTATATGCGAATTTAAATGCTATGCGCGCCGGTGGTGGTGGGAGTGGTGATGGCAGCATACCATTTGGGCCATCTTCAGAACGATCATTCTCAATATCACAACAATCTGGGATCCAGGGAAATTCTCCCATGGATCGATATAATAATCCTTCATTCCGTGGACCGACCAGCTCGGCTTTTGGATTAGACGTGGCAAAGAACACACTTCATAATATGGGATATCGGGGATTGGCAGATGAAGGAATCCTAACTCACGATCCTACACCGGTCCCATCACCACCACCTACACGACCTAGGGCATTGCCATCCATTGCTATGCATGGTGCCCAATCACCAGATCCACTGAGAAGTGTGGACCGAGAAGAAATGATTCGACTTTGTAGGGTATATGAAGAAGAAATGGGTCTGATGTATCCTGTTCTAGATATAGAGGAATTGATCTTTCATGGAAACAGACTCTTTGACTTCATGGATTCTGCGGTGAGGAATGGCCTTGCCACCTCGAGCAATAATCAAGGGATTAATGATATCAACTCTTGCATGTTAAAAGCGGTCATGGCCATCTCAATGATTGTGGAGGGAAGTGGGCAGAGTGATATGGCATACCGACTATTTGAGAGCGTCAGGGAGCCTGCTGATCGTGCTTTGCATGATGAAATTGTGGAGGTCAAAAGCTTGCCTTTTTTGGTTCTTGTGGTGAGTTGAAAGGGTTTTTTTTGTTTGCTGTTATTGTTTTTTTGGCGGGCATTTTATGTGAATTGAGAGGTTATGGAAGACCAAAGAAGGCAAAAGCTTTATTTAGTGAGTTGATCTAGGGACAAGTGTGTCTGTTTCTTTCTGATATAAAGTTGTTGGGGTCAGTGGGAAACCAACTTAATCTCACAATTTGGTCATTGGTCAAGTGGGATCAACGCCGAGAAAATGTGGATGAGGACGTGGGTACGTTCAATTTCCAATGATTTGAGGATACATGATTGCCAAAGGAAAGAAACTAGGAAGAAAATAGCAACCGAGATATGGTATAGGGGCAAAAAGTCAAAAAGTAATTGATTAGCCCTGGAGAGAATCAAACCCCCGTCTATTTCATCATGCAATGTTGAGGCTTGGTGTTTTACCATTAATCCACAAGGCCTATATTATTCATTGTTGCATTGGAGAACTTATGACATGAGATATGTGTCTCACAATTATGCGACTGATGTTGGTTGGCTTGGTGGGTATTTGAGGACCACGAAATAAGCCATCTTGCTGGGTTGGGGAGTTGATAAAGGGGGAGGCAAACCCATATATTCGAACATCACCGCGAGCAAAATGGCAAAAAGAAATGGCCACAGAAAGAATCAACCCTCCTAATCCAACAGCAATACATTTTGCGCTTACGCGCTTTCATCATTAGACTACAAGGCCTATCTCATTTGTTGTTGTTGTTGTTGTTGTTGCATTGGAACAATTTGCATTTGAAATTGGTTTCCTGACACGCGACGTTAATGAATTCACTATTGGTGCGAACCAAGTACCACAAAATTTAAAACCTTTCTGCGCTTGGATTGGAAAGAAGAAGAATTCGAACACTCAATCGACCTCTAATTATGGCCAAAACCTCCCAAAAGCCTCCAAAAAAGAATGCTGGCCTTGGAAGGAATCGAACCTCCTTTTCATCAACCAATGCACATTGGGGATTCGCGTTCTACCATTGAACTACAAGGCCTGTCTGATTTGTTGTTGCATTTTGATGCTTGTTATGGAGTTATTGCCTACGCCAGTGTCTATAGGACTTGTAGTGTGGGACTGGATTATGGGTTCTCATCCGTTCATGAATCTATCTCATCGCGTTTTTACTTCCTCGAGATCGAGGATAAGCGAAGGACCACAAAAAATAAATCTTCATTGGTGCGATACCCCAGGATTTATAGCCAGATACACCTTTCAAAAAAGGGAAATACATCGTAGTATGGGAGAGGGAAAATGTCAAAAAATATGACTTGGACCCCGCAGGATTTGAACCCGCCATTCTGCAAGTTTGACCCGCAAGCTTCGCAGCGTGTTAAACCAACTACACTAAAGGTCCTGCTTGTGTTTGTTTGATTGAGATTGCTTATACTATCTGTTGTCCCTTGACGCTTCTAAAGTTTCTTCAACTGTGGTCTTTAATCCTCGGTTTACAAAAAGGACACGTCCCGCCATGAGAAATTGCAGAGGATAAAAACAATCAAGAGGCAAAAAGTACATTACATCACCATGAAATTTTTTGTGAGATTTACATGGTTTGTTTGTCTACTTACGCTCCCTTTAGCTTTCACATGCAGAAGTCGATTGTAGGGGGATATCATCAGCTGTGTGGTGACTAGGCCGGGAGAGGGGCGTTTTTATCAAAGGGGCGAAGAGGTACTCACAGCTGTGAGAAGGCCTGCAATATGAAGTCAAAGGGGGCCAAAGTAATATATTGGGACCCGCGCCGTATTAGCGTCCTCATGAACCGTGGCCATTGCTTGAAGCTTCACCTTCGAGCCGTCTCAACTCGACCACTTCGGTCCCGGCTGTATTTCTTATATTTGTTTTAGCCGAGCCACCACATAACTCCTTGAGGGCATATTATCTTCTGGTCATAGTTTCTAGTTTCTGCACTTCATAAAATTTCCGCAAATCATGCAAAACCCCTTCATCCATACTCGAACTTATCGTTCTTCCCTTTTTGGAGATCTTCTTTCTTTCGCCTGAAATTCTTTTTCATCTACTGACTGATACAATTCACAGGCAATATACCATTTCCATTGTGACGAAGAAGCATTGGCTTGGCGCATTATAGGACAGGTCGCGCGAATGTCAATTGAATTGGGTCTTCATAGACGTGATTCTTTTTTCAAGGTTGTTGCTGATGGGCGAGAGCGGATGGCTATCACCAAACTTTTCTGGTCAATTTACGTACTTGATCGAAGATGGAGTTTTGGTACAGGAATGCCTTTTGCTTTACAAGATTCAGATATTGATCCTAGCTTACCAGAGCCTGTATGCAATCTTCGACCTTGATTGGCGACTTGACTAACTCTTCTAGGATGACACCGCTCCTTATCTGAATGTTATGATACCATATTCAAGAATCGGTTCTAAAGTTTGGCGCTCAATTTGTTCCTTCAGCCCGACACCTTCGACGGCAATAAACACTGAGGAGTTGGACTATCTAGACTACCAAATTGTTCAATGGCAGAAAGCAATACCACTTCAATTACAACTCCCGATAGCTTCTTCACCACCAGCCCCCTCTCGCGCGATCCATCGACTACAAATACTTCTCTACCTTCGTGCTAATCAAATGCGTATCCTCATTTATCGCCCTGTTCTACATTCGGCATCCTGTATACAAGAACATCTTCGGCATGCTTCTACTGTCGTTGAGCTTGCAAAAGACACCATTCACGCTCTCACACACCTGAACCAAACCACGGATATCTACCGTGTACAACAAGTTTGCTTTAATTACTTTCTAATTTCCGCTTTGGCAGTTATCTTTCTGGCAAGTTGTCATGCACCAGTCACCTTCAGCTCAATCTGTCGCGATGAGTTTTACATGGCACTTGATCTCGTCAAAGGTTTCTCCAACAAATCATTTGTTTCGAAGCGTCTTTGGAAAACAATCAAAAGTCTAAAACAAGTCGCTCCGAAACTTGGTCTGTCTCCCGCATCAATCAATCTTATAAATGGGACATTGGGAGCGGATGATGCACATAACAGTGCTGCACTTTCTATGGCTGGCTTGGCCGGCCATGAGATTGCGGGTCTGGGAGGAGGCTTTGATACAAGTGGTCACGGGAGTGAACACGGCATGGGTACCGGGACAGGAAGTAGTCCGATGACGGGAAATCAGATGAGTTATGAAATGACCAACTTGTTCGAGGCGGTGATGGGGATGGGGGGTGCTGCTCATGGTGGATTTGGCGTTGGTCATGGGATTGATGGCACGCCAGGAGCGGGAGGAGATGGTATGGGTATTGGTGTTGGTGCTCTATCTGGAGACGGCGATGAATTGTTTCGGCAGTTGAGGGATTTATTTTAGCTATGAATTAGTTTTGTTTGCATTGGGAGCGAATTCGGTACTGGGGAGCTGGGATCGCTATTTATATATATATATATACAGAGTAGACTTAATTAAACACACGCTTATCTCTCTCTCTCCCCTCTGGCAGATGATGATAACATAAGAGAAGCGAAGATAGCTAAGTTAGGGTTACCGAGGCACCTACCCGCATCCCCGCGACGCGGAATCATTCCCAACCCCGTGAAGTGGATCAAGGATGGAATTCATTCCGTGCGTACGAGTTACATTATTAGGTAAAGTGCGGGCGGAACAACGACGAAGTTGGATTCCAAGTTTAAGTCGGGAATTCAAGGATTTGTAATTGAGTACTGAAAGTAAACTAGTATATATAGTTATATAACTATATGTACTAGTATTAGTATTCGTACTATAGAATTAGAATGATTGTAATATTATAAATAAAATTTATTCAAGATTTTATATAATATTGAATAGTATAATATTAAATAGTATAATATTCTGATTTTTTTATATAAGTAGTATATAATGTGGATACGACTACTAGTTCCGTTTCGCTTGTTCCCAAACTGGTTGTCAGGGATTATGCTGAGTCAGCACATCGTAACTTATTTCGTTGCTGCGTAGCTATCTATATAAGACCTTGACATCGGCTTGTGAAATATAATATTGGGTACGGCTTGAGTCGCTGGGATTACTGAAAGTAACATTTTATTAGAATAGAATGTCTCCTCTCAAGTCTTGGCTCCGTATTCCGCCTCACAGCGACTTCTCAATCCTCAATATCCCCTTTGGTATCATCACCTCTCGCCATTCCCAAGGTACTCGCCGTCCAGCCATCCGCATTGGTGACCACGTCCTTGACCTCCTTGCATTCTCCCGATCATCGGGTTTCCACAAACTCCCCTCCTTCAAGGATCACGTCTCCGTTTTCGAAGAACCCACTCTCAATGCCTTTGCGGCATTGGGTCAACCGCTTCATGGCGCTGTGAGGAAATATATCCAGGATATTCTCAGGGAGGATACGCAGTATCCGGAGTTGTTGAGGGATAATGAGGAGGTGCAGAAGGAATGTCTGTTGCAGGTGGTGGATTGTAAAAATCATCTGCCGATGAGCATTGGTGATTATACGGACTTCTTTGCGGGCATCAATCATGCTAGGAACGTGGGGGTTATGTTTAGAGTGAGCTCTTTCTCTCTGTTGTTCTTCGTTCCTTGTTCCTTGTTTGCCAATTTCTAACGTGTGTCTTAGGGACCAGAAAATGCCCTGCAACCGAATTACACCCATGTTCCTATCGGATATCATGGACGCGCTTCCACCGTCGTGGTCTCCGGAACGCAAGTCACGCGACCAAATGGTCAGATCATTCTCGATCCGAAAGCGCCCGGTTCCAAGAAACCCATATTTGGACCCTCCCGACGACTGGATTTTGAGCTGGAGCTCGGCTGTTTCCTCTGCACGGGAAATGAACTTGGGGAACCCATCAGAGTGACCGAGGCTGCACAAAACATCTTTGGATATGTTCTCATGAACGACTGGTCCGCGAGGGATATACAGAGCTGGGAATACGTCCCGCTCGGCCCGTTTAATGCGAAGAATTTCGCGACCACGGTTAGCCCGTGGGTGGTTCTCCAGGGCGCCATGGCGCCGTTCCGCACCGCTAAATTGGAAACCGAGACGTCGAAGTCGGGGGACTTGTTGGATTATCTCAGGGAAGAAAGTCATGCCACGGGTCTGGATATTCGTTTGGAAATTGATCTTACGACCCCGGATGGCAGCACGACGACGATTGGACAGGTCAATGCTAGGAATCTGATATGGAGTTTTGAGCAGATGCTCGCGCATCATAGTAGTGGGGGGTGTAGCATGAGGACGGGTGATTTGCTGGGGAGCGGGACGATTTCGGGTGAGACGGATCGGGAGATGGGTAGTCTGCTTGAGATGTCGTGGGGTGGGAGTCGGGAGGTTGGTTTGGTGGGTATGGAGGTGAGGAGGTTCCTGAAGGATGGAGATGAGGTTACGCTGAGGGGGACTTGTGGGGACGAGAAGGGTGGGAAGGTCGGGTTTGGGGAGTGTAGGGGGAAGGTGATTAGCGCTGTTCCTTATTAGGGGGAAGAGCGGGAGATCCCCGATTGGAGACGCATCAGAGGCGAAAATAGAAATGGCTAATATCCACTGGCTGGTGGTCTAAACTCAAATCTATTCCTCCCTGCGACGATCACTGATAAGAAAGATATCATTTCGCTTCCGACATTGCAATCGAAATTGTGCATTCAACAACTTGTGAAACTGACTGGCGTTGCCATATTTTGATTGAAGGAGGCATGTTGGTATGTATATGTATGTATGTAACTTGAATCATCCTTCTTTGCTGCAGCAGCACTCTAATAGTAATTGATTGAGTATATAGCTAACATGGTATCATCACCAGTTAAGAAGTCTTGAGGCTTCATCGGGTATGTGAGCGCCTTCCTGCACAGTCACTTACTTGATAATTGACAGACATTTATTCATCAGGGCCTTGCAGCCAGTTTCGGAAGGTGGACAGATGTAAACGAGAAGGGACGTGCATGGGGGGAAGTGGATGATGCATGGAAGGCTGAGGATACCCACCTCCCGCTCCGGAGAACAGGGAGGGTAGTTTGATGTGAAATAA